CATCGAAGCACAGGGACCAAGCCATCCTGTAGCACTGGCCCAAGGTGTCTCTATCCACAACTCTTGCACACAGTACATACTGACAGATCACAGAACTCTCGTACTTGTAGCAATACCAGAACAAAAACCCTCCACTCCTCCTGAGTCAACTAGATCCAGAACCAGATCCCTAATTCCCTTCCCAGAGGAACCCACGCCGAAGCCTCGCCTACCCAAATCTCTTCCTACTCGCAGTTCCACCCGCTGCTGAGTAGCAATCAGGTTGTTTTCAATCAGACGAGGCTCGCTGCCACAAGCTCAAAAAAATCAGAAATGTGAAATAGTACCAAGGGTGGCCTCAGACTTTCGTAATGCCCTCAGAAATCGTGTAGCACCTCTCAACAGAATACTAAAACCAGCTGCGGGAGCATACCTGGCTAATGCAGTAAAACTCAACCTCGTACAATGCATCACCGTCTTGCTCCCCCTGAACAAGCCTCAGAAACGTCTCCATGCCATCTGCTTAGTCGCTGCAGAAGGCGAGAACCATATCAGGTCTCGGAAAACACTCAGTGAACTTCTTCCCAGTAATCATAGAGTTCAATCTGCCCATGAAACTTTGAGCCTCCTGCATGGGCCAACCACAGATGCTAGCCTCACCATCAACAGAAATCTTAGCAAAGGTACCTTCATATCTAACCGGGACACTGGCATGCCGTAAAGAAGGTCTTTCTCCAATCTCCTCAACCCACTCCTTAGCAGTTCTGGGCTCAACAGCCCCTCAAATCTCGAAGGTTTCAACCTCAGAACATCTGGAGCATGTCTATCAAATATCATCAGATCCTGACGGTAGAAGCTCTGCTCTGGCTCTTCGGCTCATCATCTGAGCAACAAGTGTAGCAAACTGAGATAGTGTATCAAGCACCGAGCCACTGGAGGCTGTACTCCCCACTGGTGCTGCCTGACGCACTATCTGCCCGTCTAATGTCTGGGTCTGACTGATCCATACAAAAAAATCCAGAAAAAAATCCAGAAAACTATTCACAAAAATAACACAATAAAAAGCTCAAACAAACCAAAACTACCCCAGACAGACTCCAACTTCAGATCACTTCCTATCAGCTCTGTCTACTACATCCAAATTCCAAAAAACCATGGCTCTGATACACCAAAGCTTGTCACGACCCGACCCGAGATGGATCCCGCCCAGCACCCGGGCCGCGACCAGCTAATGAACAGACAGACCAGGATCTGGCTTTGGAATTTGCTTCGAACTGAATTCTTCCAAAATACTTCAAACTCAAAAACAGGACAAACACCAGATGCTACTATGAAACATCAAATGCAGCGGAACAGAACATCTATATTTTTCTTTTCTTTTCCACAAAAACAATCATCTACAACTAACAGACCATGGCTCAGACAGCAAAGAAACAGAGCAGAAGAGCCATGTCTGTACAAAAATCAAAATACAGGATAACTGATACTATATAACTGATCAGACTCTCTATGAAATCTAGTCCTGGACCTCCTTCCCTTCCTAGAACTGAAACCACCGAAACAAGGTGAGCTCAACAGCTCAGCCAAAGCGACCAAACCTCCAATCAAAACTCCAGAACCACATCAAAGCACATCAAGAGCAGAAATCCTTGACAGGAATCGAAACAGAACTCGTATATCAAAATCAGAACAGAAACAGAAATATCGAATCAGACAGAGCATACAGATTCAAATCACAGAAATCAAAATGTACAGAAATCACATATCGGAACAGCAACAGTAATCTGTCAAATCAATTATAAGGAATCCATATCATACAGATCATATCAAAATTATCATACAGAAATTCAGAAATCCATATTACTTACAGAATTATATACGGAAATCAGAATCAGAATTATCAACGACTAGTCATTATAATTAATCAGCTAAAATCTCTAACACTGACAGAATCTTCATACGGATTCTGGCCCCTTATGCCTCCCTTTTGCTCACGGCACCAGAAACAAATAATGCTTATGCTGCTCACGGCACACAGAACAGATGTGCTATAGCACCAGAACAGATTTCATCGGATCCGAAATAGACAGATTTCAGATTTACAGATTGAGCTCAAATTTCAGATTTCCCAGACCACTAACTGAATCTCTTAGAATCCAGGCCCCTTATAATCTCCCTTTAATAGCAATACAGTAGCATATAATTCATAAGAAATCAGACGAAGTTCAGGAAATCAAATAAAAATCCGTGGCAGGCACAACGGCTGTATATGGAATTCTACACAATTTTTTTCCTAAAAAAAATCACAGAATACCAAATTTGCACCAGAATGTAGATAACAACATTTGCAAGACTTTAATCTATGCTCAGACAATTTTAGACTACCACAGAAAAATACAGTCGACGAAAAAACGCCCGTCAAATCAAAAATCTACCTGGATAAAAATTTCCTGAAAAATAACCAAAATGTGCACACTCGGCATGTCGACACATACAGAAAATTTCGCGGTAAAAACTGAACCAGAACAGAAAAAATACGACGAAAATCCCTTGCAAAAATCAATTACCGGCAGAATAATACCGCCAAACACGGACGGTTCTGAAAATTGAGAAGGCGGAATTTGCCTTACCTTGCGATACAACCACTTTCCTGAACAGTCTCGTCGGACGAAAACGGCTCGGACCGTCACCCGAAAATCAACTTTTCCACCTTCTTTCCCTTCGTTCTTCTCTCTCCTAAGCTTTTTCTGCTCTCTTCAAAAATATCACAATTTCCATTATATATCCAGACTGATCGTCCCGGACTATGCGCACCTTCGTCCCGGGACGATCTGGCTCTTGGACACAGTGTCGTCCAGATGAGATTTTAGATTATCGTCCCCCGAGCGACCGGCTTCCTTTGGAGCATTTTCGGTCCAGACGATCCAAATTTCGTCCAGACAAACTGCTTAATTTCACCAATTCCGACCAAACCCTTACCGAATCGTCCTGGGCACGACTCCAACTTACGTCCCCGGACGATCCTGGAGCAAAAGCGATCTTCACCAAAGACTTTTTGTCCCACTTACGTGGGTTGGCTTACATGAAATCCTTTTTTCGCCATGTGTACTGTTTAAAAGTCAAATTTCTCATTAAAATTAATTAAAGAAGGATCATTCTAAATATTTTCTAACCATGTATTCTCTCCTCTGTTTGGATCCTGGTCTGTCTGTTCGTTAAGCTGGTCGCGGCCTGGTGCAGGCGGGATCCGTCTCGGGTCGGGTCGTGACAGTCTTGATGTTGTTTTTGTTGTTGTGGAGAGATTCATACATATAGCAATAAATTTTAAGTAACCTTTTACTTGGAAATTCGCTCTTAAATTATTACTTTTTTAACTTAACACTAGAGATAATTTGATTTTGTTAGGCACTTTAGATAACCCAATTTCATTCTAATTAGAGAGAGAGGGGGTTTGGTGGTTTAACCTATGGAAGAATGTTAGAAAGCTTTTCGTTTATGGGCCTAAAATGCCAGTTTCATTTCTTAAACATAAATAATAAACCATTGAGGAAACATGTACCTCCATCTCATACCATGTTAAAATCTTTTTTATAGTAAAGTTTAAATTTAAAGAAATAACCTGATAACATGAGAAGTTTGAATCTCCCATGAAGCTTTTAAGATCTTGTGATTGTCGACATTAGTGAAGTATCTAATGGTTTTTTCTAATAATATGCACCACTAAAGAGAGTTCTCATTCTTTTTGTCCAGCAAATAGATTTGTAGTCGAGAAGAGGAATTTATCATCTTCATTATCCACATAAGAAAGAGTGAAATCTTTACTTTTTCTTCACTTTAGGCGCAAATAAGATCTTTCCAATTACAAGTCCCCGTGAAGAAAAAGAAGTACAAGGCCGAGACAAGTCGGTAAGGGCTGTACAACAACCCTAAGGATGGATAATGAGGAGGAGGATGGTTATAAAAGAGGGAATTTAGAAGTGTTTAGGAAAGCAAAATCCATGGGGGTGATAGATCTTGAAGTAAGATTTATTTTGCAAGATCTTTGTGAAGAGGAGTTATATTGGAGTAAAAAGTTGAATGAAGAGAAATCAACATTGGTATAAGGAACCTCCAGTCGTATGTGGAGGTAAAAAAGATCAGAAAGGGGGAGAGGCCTACTAGTAGTGAATAAGATGAGAGAGATGGAGATAGTGACACTTTAGAGGTGAAAAAACATAAGGGGCAGGAAACTCTATTAGAGCCTTATCTTTGAGGAAAAAAATACTATAAAACTCAAATACATTTTGAAGGCTTAGTTGGATTCAAGAGTTCATGATTAAGAACAAGTTAATTAACTCAAATGGAAATGAAATTACATGTTTCACAAAATTTTCTTAATGCATTTATTTGTACAATCAAAATGAGCATGATTGTATAAGTAGTTTTATATCATGTTATTACTTAAGGTAATTTGAAATGAAACTTTAGTCTTGATCTATATTTGAAGTTAATTTATATCCATGACAATAACTTGGTAGAATGGACAATCTCCTCTGAATAGGATCATGACATTTTATTCAATAATTTTTATATCAAATTTTATCCTTGTGAAAGACCAATTATATCTAATTTACTTTTATATTTGGGCATATTGTGTTTTATAGATTTTACTAGTAAAGATAGGATTAATTTCAATAAGCCTAATTTTATAGTAAAATAAGGAATTAGTGTATTAATATGATAGTCATGATTCTTAGATATTGATCGAGTTGATAAATTCTCATCCATTAGACAAATATTTCGTAATGATAAATTTTCATCATTTAGACATATGTTTATTTAAACTATAAACTTATAATGTTCACCTCCAAACAACTAATATTTAAGCCATTAATTTTGATGTGATCAAGTTGTATATTCAATTGTGACCCATGAATCTTACTAGCTTCTTCCATGAAACTTGAAAAAGATATATTCTCAAAGTGATTTTTTGTGATTAATCAAACTCTTAGTTCATGAAGTGTTGACTATAAATCATACACTTAAGGGGAGGTGAAGCTTTGTTAACACATGCTATTTATCAAGCAAATCCAAACAGTATCATTTCATCCAAATGCTCTTTCTGACATATGACAAAAACTTTTATTTTTTCCTCTTTTAGAGAGAGAGAGAGAGGGAGAGAGGAAATTAATTAAGATAAGAGGACATTTAATTAATTCAAGATTACAGCCAAGGAGAAGAGTAAATAGGGGTAATAACAGACTTAACATTTAAGTACTTTTCCATTGCATCCAGGCCCTGATCCTTCCCAAATCCACTCATCTTGAATCCACCAAATGGACAGCTTGGATCAAATATGAAGAAGCAATTGATCCAAATTGTTCCTGCTCGAACTGATCTGGAAATCCTATTTGCTATGTTCAGATCATTGGTGATAATGCCAGCTGCCAGTCCATAGCGAGTCGCATTAGCTTTTTCTATTGCTTCTTCTATTGTCCTACCAAAGAAAAAACATCATCTATCAAATTCTATTGGATTTAAGTCCGTCTAAATTTGAAGGAATAAGATTTTCACATTAATTAATTATAAGAAAACAATTAAGTGACATTAATTTATTATACGAAAACAATTAAAGTCATTAATATAAATAAAGGAAGTAGAAAAAGTTTTCTTTTCTTTTTGTTTTTTTATATCAATTGGTGAAATTGGAATTTCATAAGGCACAGCACCGGGCCAAATATCTCATCTTTTGCTATTTTCATGTGCTCCTGCCATAATTTTTAAAAATAAAAGTTAAGAAAAAATCATTCCAAGTGAAAATGTGAAAGGATTTGTGAGTGATGAATTGTAGCTTACATTGACATCAGTAAAAATGGTTGGCTCAATAAAATAGCCCTTATCCCCATATGGTTTTCCTCCAGTCAATAAGGTGGCACCCTCATTTTTACCATACTCTATATATTTAAGAACCTTATCAAATTGTTTCTTATCAATCTGCAGATTTCAAAAAAAAAATATTTTTTTGATATAACCATTACAGACATTCATGAGATGCCATAGAAGAACTCTGAATTTTATAATTTCCATACCTGAGGACCTTGCTGAACTTCAGGATTGAAAGGATCTCCAATTACCCGACTTTTAGCCATCTCCACAGACTTCTCCACAAATGCATCAAAAATTCCTTCTTGAACAAAAACACGAGATCCAGCCGCACAAATTTCTCCCTAGAATTTATAAAAAAATTCAATTTACATATCCTAGAGCAATTAAAATCTTTTTTTATTTTTTGGAACAGGGGCATGTACTCGTGGCCACCCCAAAAGAGGCACATGGCGGCGTAACTACTCCCTCAGTAGGCTTACCAGCAACCAACCCCACAGGTGCAGAGCCACACAGTCATTTTCTCTCCATTTAAGTAGTCACGCCGCATGAGAGATGAATCGAAATGGGTTGGGGGTTCCCAACTACACTCGCCCACCAACTCAGCTAAGGGCATCTCTAACCGAACTCCAAACGCTTGAATGTCGTCGCTTGCGAGCTCCAGCCGAACGGTAAAACTTCTGCTATTTAGTTGCGGATGATCAATGGGACGCCAATATTAGCGTTGCACTGTTCATCTTCGCCATTTTTTTGCCTCTACCGAACTTGCCGAAGAAACGTGCGAAAGAAGAGAGTGACCGTTACCTTTCGCAAAAGGAGCCAAAATGGAGTTCGATTGGAGATGAATCACGGCATTTTTTAATTTCACGGTATTTTGGATTGAAAAATGAGATTTTCAGTTGGAGATGCCCTAAGCCCGATGGGGTAGCAATTAAAATCTGGGAATATTGCACAAGTAAAAAAGATACCTTGTTAAAGAATACAGCATTGTGAGCGAGACTAACAGCCTTGTCTATGTCAGCATCATCAAAGATTATGAGCGGTGATTTCCCTCCCAACTCGAGTGAGACATGTTTCAGATTGCTCTTTGCCGCTGCTTCCATTACTTTCTTGCCCACTTCAGTGGATCCAGTAAAACTTACCTAATGCAAAATGAAATAGGAAAATACATTCAAATTTTCTTCAGCAATCTCATATTTACAAATTTTACTTCAGTACTATAATTGTTATATGATCTGGATCATAATACAAATGAACAATATTACGAATAAAGCTAACCACCTTGTCCACGTCCATGTGAGAACAAATTGCCGAACCAGCGGAGGGGCCGAAGCCAGTGACAACATTGAGCACTCCATCGGGAATGCCGGCCTGCCCATTAAAAACAAAATTAGCATTAATTAATTAACATGTTAAATATATAGCCCGATATATAAAGTGTATATTATATGAAGCAGTAGATAAATTATATTTTCCCAAAAAGAAAAAAAAAAAGATGGAATATGATCATCGAGATACCAAGGTCTTAAATGTATGTAAAGTAATTCACTACCAAAAAACAATATTTTTCGCATCAATTTT